CTGCCCGCCCGCCAGCCTCCCCGCTCCCCAGGCCTTTGCCTCGTGGACTGTGGCAGGCAGTCGGCGGGAGGGCACATCCTGTCAGCAGCCCCATTTCTTCCCTTCGCAACTACAGGCTCAAGCAGGACGCTTGTGGGTTGTGTGAGGCCTGCCTGACCTTTCTGGTGTGTTTTTTCTCCCCCCCAGAAACTCTTCCTGAGGCGGAGATGGACAGATTTTCTTACGGTAAGGAAAGGTCTCCCCTCCTGCGACGGGACAGGCAGGTGACGTAGAGGCTGGGCAGACCTCAGGACCCCATGTTCTCCCTCGGGGCTTCTTGCTTGCTTGCTTGCCAAAAGATCCACCACAGACCCACTAGCCAGAGCTGGGTGCAAAACTAAGATACCAGAGGAGCCTATGGAAGGGTGGACTCAGGAGTGTCTGCTTTGTGAACCAGAACTGAATAGAGTGCGCAGTCCTTCCACTCAGAACCTCCTCCCAGTTTACTGAAATTTTTCTCCATTCCAGAAGTAAAACTTGGAGCTCATTTCGCTAAACATTTGGGGGTCCGTAAATCCTTGCTGATCTCCTGCAGATCACCCAGAGAGTTTATCCAGCAGTAGGTCCTGATCTACTTTCTGCCCGTGCACATAGTAATACCAAGAGGGTGTGGGGGCTGCAGCCACTTTCTCCCTTTGAGTTGGGATAAATGCCGAGGCTTAACGTGACAAGTAAGATGGCTATGGACCTTATTGATGAATGATGAACGAAAAGACCTCTGGGATCAGACGCATTCATCCACCACTTCCTAAGAAGCCGTGTTTTCTAATCAAAATATGTATTGCAGGACTGGAGAGTGGTCAATGGAACACCGTTCTTTAGAAAGGGATCTGGGAAGTTGTAGGCCACTTAGCTTAATGTCTGTTCCAGGTAAATTTACAGAAAGGATTATTAAAGATAAAATTTTAAAATATTTATTGTTCTGTGCCATTAAGTTGCTTCTGACTTACAGCGACTCTCTGAATCAGTGACCTTCAAGAGGGTTACAAGGGCAAGTCCTGCTGGAAAAGAATCAGGTTGGCTTCTTCAAAGATTGGGTCCCATCTCACTAACCTTTTAGAGGTTTCTGAAAGTGTCAGCAAACATTTGGACAGGAGTGGGTTGTTTGCTTGGGCTTCCAAAAAGCTTTTGACAAAGTCTTGAGCAAACTTCACAATCGTGGAACAAAAGGATGAGTCTGTATGACTTGGGACTGGCAGAAAAGTAGAAAGCAGAGCATAAGAGCAGGGAAGCTAGTTCTTGAGATGGAGGGATGTGAGCAGTGGGATCCTGCTGGGCTTGTGTTGGGGCCGCAGCTCTTTGGCTTGTACCTAAATCATCCAGAGTTGGGGATGAGCAGAAAAGTAGCTAAGATTGCAGGTGAGACCACACTGCGGTGAAAGCAAAAGCGGGTTCTGAAAAGCTCCAGAGCGAACTTTGCAAACAGGGTAAACAAGCAAGAAAATAGTAAATGGGGGTTAGGATAAAGCCATGCAACTTCAGGGGAGAAAATGCAGATGACATATGGACTGACAGGATCTCATTGGACAAGAAAGGGATTTAGGGGCTCTGGTGGAAAGCGTGATAAAAATGTAACCACGTGAGGCGCTGCTATAGAAAAGGCAAGGTCTGTGCTGGGCATAACTAGAAATGGAGCTGAAACTAAACCTGCCAGTATTTTTCCAACCTTGTACAAATCCACAGCACAATCACAGAATGTGCATCATTGCCGTTATATTTGGTTATCAAATCTTTTGTTGTTCAGTTGTTAAGTCATGTCCAACTCTTTGTGACCCCATGGACCAGAGCATGCCAGGCCCTCCTGTCTTCTATCAAATCTACCTGATGATTTCAATACCGTCTCCTGCACCCTCAGAACACAAAGTGTATCTTAGATTTTGCCAGTTGAGAAGATGAAGGTGTGGGGGGAAATTACTCAAAAACATGATCCATCAAGGCTTGCGCCAGCCAAAGGATCGGGTATTTGCCTTATACCCAGCCTATAGACCTCAATATTATCATGAAGAAATGGGGGCAGGTAGAGGACACATCCTTTCAGAGATTAAGACTCAGAAAAGCGAACCTCCTTTTCACTGGCAGCAGCTCAGCAAGGAAGGGCCTCATTCTGCTACCTGGCGCCATTCTGAGGTCCTGGACCTGGGAAAGGTGGTCTCCCTGAGCCTCTCCTCTCCCCCCACCCCCAGCAACTGCTGTGCTGCTTTCAACTGATTTTAAAAAACCAAAACCCTCTGCCTATAGATTACCAGACTATCCGGAACGGGGGCCTGATTTTTGCTGTGGTGGCTTTTATGATCGGACTCCTCATCATCCTCAGTAAGTATATGCTGTTTTGTTGTGGGGCACGGTAGCCAGGTAATGGGGGGAAGGAAAAGATATTGCCCAGAGACTAGGGATTGGGAGAGGGAGGTTTAGAGGCCAAGTGGCATCAGGAGATGGTGGAGCCTTCTCGCTCAAGGCCAGCTGACTACTGGAAACTCCCCTGGCTACAAGGCAGCCACGAAGGAGTCCCAGGCCAGCGAAGGGTCTGAGGGTCGGGGTGGGGAGTCCCAGAGGAAGGGTACCTCTTGGAGGTCTCTCCCAGAAGGCCCTTCCTGTTCCTGATCCTTAACTGTGGATTTTAGGGGGGGGGTTAGAAATTTCCAGAGGGCCACACGGAGGGGCTCCCTCGAGACGTCCGTACGTATGCATTCCATATGCTGCTGCTTTCTCTCTCTAGTAGTGGATCGAAGGCAGCTCCCAACAACCAAAACGATGAAACTATCTACAGTTTTAATATTCCAAATAAATATCACACTAAAAATAATTTAACCTATATCAAGATTAAAAACAACAGTAAAAACAATTTGGCTGAACCTTTCACAGGCTGCCAAAAATGCCAGTGGCAGCTGCGTTGAAACTTCCTGCCAAATAGAACCTAATCATCTCTGAGGTGTCACAAGACTTTTTCCTCAATCTTATTGTCAAAAACTTTCCTCAGTTTTATTGTATTTTATTTTATGGAAGTGGAAAAACACAAGAAACTATGAAAGATGTCATAATTGGGCCTTCCTGTAAAATTCCAGGGCAGCCCCTGCTTGCAACAGCCCAGACGATGAGGAGCAGCCTCCTCCCACTGTCAGACCTCCCCGCTGGCCCCTGGCAAGCCTGGCTGGGTTTCTATCTCTGTGGAAAGTTCCACCTTGCCCAGCAGCAGAGAAACGGCCCTGGTGGGGTAGGGAATACCACAATATACAGACACGCACAGAGGCTCAGGCCTGGTTAGTCTTCGGGTCCAGCTTGTGTCCGGATGGATGGGAGACCGCCAGGAAGCACTGGGCGTTTCACCCAGAGAGGGCTCTCCTGCTTGAAGCTCCCGCTGCCAATCAGCGCTTCCAGCAGCAGGCTAGACAGGAGGCCAAGGGTGTCACGTGGTGTAAAGGACACCTTCCTGGCCTCCAAACCTTATGGCAGCTGCACCAGATGCTGTCTAGAGCTGGGGGGTGGGTGGGGGAGATTGAGGAAGGGTCAGTCCTGGGGAAACCTTGGGCTTATTTTCCTGGATAGACTGGAGGAAAGAGAAGCCTTGGGAGGAGCAGGGTGCAGGGGACTCCCATCACCCCAACTCACCCCTGGGGATAAGGACCGGTCCCCGGTGGCTGAGACCAATCTTTGTCCCCTTGCTTTTAGGTCGCCGTTTCCGTTGCGGAGGGAAGAAAAGGCAACGGTGGGTGTCATTTTGTAAAGAAAACAAAACAAAACCCCATTCCCCACCCCCACCCCTGTCCTTCCTGGGGAACATCCTGGAGGGGCCCTGGGGCCTTCTTGTTCAGGGTGGTGGGGAGAACAGATGTTAACAGAAGATATTCCTGTCCCTCTTTCAGGCAAGAGGCTGAAGAAGAACTCTAAACTCTGGTAAGTCCGGCAGACGAAAAGAGCAGCAGAGGACGTGGGTGGGGAGGGGTGGGGAGGGCAGCTGGCCCTTGCTGTCCTCTCCTCTTGCAAAGCAACATGACCCAGCCCAAGAGAGTGGCCTGTGTTTTATTGGGGCCGGGGATCTTTGGGCCCGTTCTTCCATGGGAGAAGGGACCCTCTCTCTCTTCTGCTCAGCCTCCAAAAAGTGATCTGCTTGGTCAGGAGGACCTTGGCTTGCCCCAACATCCTCCATGTGCCCCCTTCCTCATCGGGTCACTGGGCCCCTTCTCCGGCCCAGGATAGGTAAGCCCCCCTGCTTGGGTGGCAGAGGCTGTTGAGCTCTGCGAGTGCCTGTGGTGAGGGGGAGCAGCGCCCCTTCCCCTCCAGCCATCCTGAAAGGGGAAGTCAAGCGTGGCCGAGGGGGTGGGTGGGAATACCTTGATTGGACCACCCAAAGAATCACAACCATCAGCAAGCTTTGGAGTCTTCCTCTGGCTGTGCCTGACAGAAGTGGGTGGGTGGGTGGAAGCCAAAGCTGGTGCATGCTTGTGGCGTCTTAAAGTGCCCAAGCACCTCTTGCCTTTTGTCTTGAGAGGAAAGGCCGCTCTGTCTCATGCCTGGGCAGTGCCCCAGTCTTGACCGGCAGACTTACTTGTGCGTATGTCCTGCATGGTCTCCACCCCTGCTGCCTCACTGGTTTGCTCAAGCAGCAACGGCAGGCCTTTACTTCCAGGGAAGCGATGACCTTAAGCAGGCAAGAGAAGAAACCACAGAAGAAAGGCAGGAGGTTCAGAGGGCAAATGCTGTCCTGGGTACTTTTGGCTTAGTAGCAGCTGCGGGGGTGGGTGGGTGGGAGGCAGGCAGGGATGGGAGGCTCGCCGTCTCTATCACCCCCTCCCCTTTTACAGAATGGCCCCCAACGAGCACCGTGGATCTTCCAGAGAAGGTGGAGGAAGGGAGTACCTTGTGGCGGCCCAGGGTTCTCGCAGGCCCAGGGCGGACACCGCAACCTCCTGACCGCCAAGCTGCAACAGAGGCAGCATCTCGCTTCTTTAAGAGGAATCTCTTACTTATTTGCTTTAATAAAGTCTTCACTGAGGAAAGTCGGCATCTGTTGGGTTGACAAAAGCTGTGCCTTCTGCCCAGAGCCTCCCCCTCCCCATTCAGTCATTTCCCAGCTCTTCACCCCAGACTGATCTTTCAAAGTACCAAGAGTATACCTCCTCTCCTTGCTTGCTGCCCACAGCAAGGGGGTGGCTGCTGGTTGGCACAATGCCCCCAAGCACGTGGCCAGGCCAAGGTGGTCAACCAAAGAGCAGAGGTCCCCCCCCCTTTTTTTGGAGAGGGTAGGTGGCTGCTTTTCTAGAGAGAAAGGAGGCTATTCAGGATTTCCCAGATAACAAGGGCAGGAGGGAGCCTCCTCAGGGTGACCCCAGGGGAAAAGACAGGGTCTGCGGCACCTGAGAAGGCACGCTAACATGGGGGGCCAAGGGGCACAATTGGGCTCTCCTTCTGGCAGAAAGGTGTCTGGGAACCCTCTCCCTCCTCCTGTCCAACTTTACCCACAAATTCCATGGTACCCAACTGCCCACAGTCCAAGATATCCCAGGCAGCCCCTCCTCCCCAGGGGCAAGGGCACCAGGACCCCATCCACCACATGAGGTATCAAGTCCAAAGGCACTCACAGCACAGTTGGGTGTGACCAAGCAGAGGCTGGAGCACCAGGCTGAGAAGACGGAGCCGGAACAAGCCGCCAAGAGGCAGGAGGCCAGCAGAGGTGAGAGCAGGGACCAAAGCAGGGATGCTGGAGCTCCAGAGCAGCAAGGCCGTCAGGATCGCCCGGCCAAAAGTCCTTGGAGGCTGAGGCCCGTTCCGGGAGGGAGAGCCACTCCTTTGATGGGCCTTCCCTCCAGGTCTCCAGGTGAGCCTCCTGAGTGGCCCAGCAGCTGCTGCAAAGGCCAGGGCCTGAGCCTGCAAAAACCAGGCCATATCCTGGGTCAGGTTGATCCCATCCTCCAGCTGCCAGGGCGGTACGGGCCAGATCCTGACACCAACCATCACTGGAGAATTTTCTCCAGGAGCTTTTAAAAAAGGAAGAAAAGGCTCATTCAAGCTGATGCTTCTGGGCCCTGAAGACTGGAGCCCAGCCCCAAGTCACCTGAGCGCTTCTTCCAGTTCACAATGCATTCAGGGGCAGCAAGGGAGACACCTGCAGCCAGAGGCACCCTGATGTCATGCAGAGGGTCCCTATGCCACTGAGGAACACTCCAGCTGGTGGGATCCTGCTGCCCTCTGCCCAAACAAGGAAGTTCCCCATTCCTCCCACCCCCTCGGTTTGGCCAGGATAAACATGGACTCTTGCTGCCCCCTGGTGGTCAATCACAACCAAGCTGGAAACAAGCAAGCAAGTGACCTACCAATAAACACTTTGACTCTTGTCTTCTGTGAACATCTCTGTGTGTGTGTGTGTGTGTGTGTGTGTGTGCGTGCGTGCATGTGTGTGTGTGTGTTCATTCAACTTGCATACCACCCCACAGCACACAGCACTCTCTGGGCAGTTTACAACAGTTAATTCAGTTGAATAATACACAAAGCACTACAAACACACAATTTATATCAACAAATAATTAGACCCCCACCACAAGCAAACCCAACTTTAAACAAAAATAAACAGTTAAACAACTTAAAATCCCAAGTCAACATTAATAAAAAGCGACTTTAAAAAGTTCATTTTTCACCACTGCCTGTCTCTCCAAGCAGCTGCTCTTCAGGGCCTGGAGAGGGAGGGGGGGTCAAAGGGCTCTGTTTAGAGGTCTCCTGCTTGAAGGCAGTTCCCTTCAAGGGCTGGAAGAAGGCAGCACAACAGAAAACAGCTGAAGGTAGCTCTAGAAGGGAAAGCATCACCTAAATAAATAGGGCAAGTACCTGCTGTTAAAAATTGGTGCCTCAGGGAGGAGCATTTCACCTCTTCTGATGCTGGTGGACTGGCCAAGCTGCATTTAACCAACATACCTGTCTCTGAGCCAGATTCTGCTTGTCGTGGCTCATGTGCTGGAGACAGTGGCAGGGTGGGGAGGATGGTCAAGGGCCTAGCACAGAACTCCCCACCGCCTGATATAGTGCCAAGTGTCATGAGTCCCTGAGTCTCCCCATCCTTGCACCTGTGAGGAATGCTGGAGCCTGTCCATTCTGGCATACAGATGATGACCTTGGCAAAAGCCCAGCCATCCACAGGAAAGGAACTCCGCCTTACCCTTTGTTTTGGCTACAACACTCCCCCAAGGGACTTCTGATGGATTTGGTGTGGGTGCTTTCATGCTGCACGATCACTGCTTACCTTTAAAACTGGGCAATTGTTACAGACCAGTGAAGTCCTGGATAGAACAGTTGGCTGGCTTTACAAGAGATTCCATCAGCAGGACAAGCGGACCTGTGGGAGATGTGCCCACGGATGGGTGTGTCTGCAGCACCTCTCATTGGCCAAGCCCTGCAGAGCCACAATAGGCCTCCCTGGCCACAGCTGGAAAAAGTTGCCTTTTCAGCCTCCACATACCAGGGCCGTTCACTCCCACATTCAGAAGAGAGGAAGGTCCCAAGAGGTTTTGGGGTTTGGATCCTCCTCGCCACCTGCTCCTCAATGTCTTGCAAGCTGACTCAGAATCCCCCCCCAACCCCCGTGTGCTCCATCCGGTGAGAGGAGCTGTCCAGCGGGCAAGTGGTACGGTGGGAGTTCCAACAGGGGCCACAGGAGGGCAGCCAAGGTGCACCTTTCACCTCTGCCCGTGTAAGGAAGACTCCAGGCCACTACAGTGGACCCTTGACTTACAGACGGTGTGACTTACAGACTTTTTGAGTTACAGACTTCTCTGGCCGCAAAATTGAGGTTTGACTTGCAGACTGAGATTTGACTTACAGACCAGAAAAAAACCAAAATGGAACAAAAACAGCCTGTTATGGGATTAATCGGTTTTCAATGCACTGTAGGTCAATGGAGACTTGACCTATAGACTTTTTGACTTGAGAACCACCTTCCAATACGGATTAAGTTCTCAAGTCAAGACTCCACTGTATTCCCAACCCAAGGATTTGTGCCCTTTATTTTCCTGGTGAAATCCATCTTGCCATGAACTTCGGGACTTTTAAGTTCTTCACATTGGTGCACATCTGAGAAAGCGGGTGGTCCTGATCATGAAAGCTTGAAGATTGTATGATTTTTTAGGGGTCTATAAAGGTATCACCTACTCTTGCATTTGTATTTTATATAGGTAGCTGGCTTCAATTGGCATAAGGTTGCTGTAAGTTAAGTTATAGTCTTCTTTCTCCATAACTGGGTCAGACCTTCGTTTCTTTTCTGTATCAGCTGGGTTTCCTTCTCAACTTTTTTCCTGATTACAACCATCTGATTGTGTGACTAATGAAGGTGTCAGCATAAAATGGTCTCTGTTCAGAGTTCTCCTTGTGAGAGGAAGTGTTCTTTTTCTCCACCGTGGTGCAAAGGATCTCTCACTTTTTCTTAGATTAGGCATCCTTCATTCTCGAGAGACTATGGTATTGTGCTCTGAATGGAGGACTTGGAGCAGTGTCTAGTGTGGCTGAGGAGGCCAGTTTGGGAGCAACAATCCCTTGCACACAGAAGACAAATACAGTCTGTCCCCTGCCCAGCTCCCTGGTTTTGCTGGTTTGGAGATGGCCTCTTGACCTTGGCCTATTGGACAAGGGTCTCTTCAAACCAGCTCAACGTTCAGAGGTCAGGGTTTCCCATCTTTTGAGGTCCATTCCTAAGGCCTTCAGATCCCGCTGGCAGATGTCCTTGTATCATAGCTGTGGTCTTCCTCTGGGGCGCTTTCCTTGCACTCATTCTCCATGCAGGAGATCTTTTGGAATCCAACTATCAACCATTCTCACGACATGCCCGAGCCAACATAGATGTCGCTGTTTCAGTAATGTATACATGCTACAAATTTCAGCTTGTTCTAGGACTACTCTATTTGGAACTTTGTCCTGCCAGGTGATACCAAAAATGTGTCGGAGACAACACATATAGAACGTGTTCGGTTTCCTCTCTTGCTGTGCACAATGGGGTCCAGGCCTCACTGCAGTACAGGAGTGGGTTTCCTCTCTTGCTCTGCACAAAGGGTCCAGGCCTCACTGCAGTACAGGAGTGTGCTCAGGACACAGACTCTATATACCTGGATCTTGGTATATGCCGTCACATTCTTATTAAGCCATACTCTCTTTGTGAGTCTAGAGAACATGGTAGCTGCTTTGCCAATACGTTTATCCAGCTTGACATCTAGAGAGAGAGTGTCAGAGATCATTGAACCAAGGTACACAAAGTCATGAACAACCTCCAATTCTTGCGGGGAGATGGTAATAGAGGGAGGTGAGTCCACGCCCTGGCCCATAACTTATGTTTTCTTCAGGCTGATTGTTAGTCCAAAGTCTTGGTAGGCCTTGCTAAAACGATTCATGAGTTGTTGGAGCTCTTCAGCAGAATGGGCAACAACGGCTGCATCATCAGTGAAGAGGAAGTCCCGCATGCATTTCAACTGGACTTTGGTCTTCGCTCTCAATCTAGAGAGATTGCCTTTTCTTGCACATACAGAAATAAATGAAGACAGAAAGCACAATCAGACTTTACTGGGGTGGGGTGGAGGTAGAGAAATTAGTCTCTGTTTGGGCAATAAAATGTCTTGGGCCCATCTTGGTTAATTGTCCTGTTTTGCTTCAGCTGGCTTTTCCTTATTATCCTGGAGGATGCAGAGAAGTTTTTGTGCCCTCTGTGGGATGGTAGTCCTCTTGTGCTGTCTGGAACTCACAGAAGTTATGTGTGTGTGGGTGGGTGGCTGGGTGGGTGTGGGTGGGTGTGGGTGTGGGTGCCTACGAACTGGCTGAAGTTGGGGGACTTGCCGTCTAGAAAAGAGACCTTTCCCAAGCTCTGGTCCAAACCGCTCCTGCCTCAACGTTGGTGTCTCCTTTCCAGGCACAGGTCTCTCCAAGTCAGTTGCCTCCACGCTGCTGCCGCCACCATAGTGGAAGGGGAGGCATTGCCATGTATGAGGCCAAATGAAGAATCCTGAAATGGAGAGCTGGGTGGGCAG